TTTTTTTTTTTTTTAAAGAACATTCATATTGTAGTGCAGCTATGACACCATGCATTTCCAGACCTTTCCCATCTTCCCAAACAAAAACTCCGTAACCGTTAAACAATAACTTCCGCTCTCTTCTTGCCCTCAGTCCCTGGCAGTCAGCAGTCTCTGTCTCTTTATGTCTACTCAAGTACCTCAGCTAAGTGGGAATTATACAATATTTATTCCATGGTGACTGGTTTCTTTTACTTAGCATAATGCCTTCAAGGTGCATGTTATAGCGTGGATCAGAATTTTCTTTCTTTGTAAGTCTGCAAAATGTAACATTGTGTAATTACATCACATTTTGTTTTTCATTCATCTGCCTGTGCAGGTGAATTGCTTGAATTGCTTCCATTTTCTACCTTTTTGATTTTTGTGTTAGTTCCTCAAGTTATCCTTAACATTTATTTTATGGAGAAAATATTTATATTTATAATTAACCATTATAAATATTTATATTTATAATTGAGTCTAAAGATCCCAATTTTGCTAGCAACACTCAGAGCCAGTGGATCAGATGCCTTCTTTTCTGTATCAGCTCTGATCATGGTGTTGATCTTGGCCTTGTCAGTTGTCAGTGTCATTGAGCTTCTTCACAGTCTGTTTGATCTGGTGCTTATTGGCCTTGATGCCCACAATGAGCATAAGTATGTTACTATCTTTTGTCTTCTCCATGGCTCACCTAGCGGTAGGGGAACTTGATGGCCGTCAACCTTGCTTCTCCTGGGGGTGTTCTTCTGAGGATATCTGGGCCGTCTTTGGAGTTGCAATGTCTTGGGCCACCCGAAGGTGGGTGACCATGGGTGACCATGACCTTTTGTGTGTGTGTTGTGGATGCCTCTCAGCACCGCTTTCTTGGTCTTTCAAGCTTTTGCATTTGCTTCTGCTTTGGGAGGGGCAGAAGTTTTTTGCTTTTGGCCTTTGTGAGAAGCAAAGTTTCTTTAACTTTAATTTGTCTTTTTAAAAAGATTTATTTATTTATGCATACAAGAACCGGGATGTAGGCAAGAGGTGCTGGGGTGGAGGTGGGTGAGAGGATTCACCAGAGACAGAGTAGGGAAAAGAACTGGCAGATGTATTGAAATACATTGCTGAGGGGAGCAGCAGGTGAGACAGGAGAGGTCTGCTGCACCTTGTAGGTCAGCTCTCTGGCCCGGGATTGGACTAGTGCTGCAATGTCTGGGGATAGCTTGATAGCATTGAGACTGAACCCCTCTACCACCAGGGAGGACCCAACTTAATAATTTCTTATCTTTCGCTGTTTATAAAAAATAAAACACTCAGATTTTTAATTCCCAAGAAGTCTGTTTTGCGAGTCTGGTTGTTGTATTTCTTTATAATCTGTTTTTGTTTTGTGGATAGTTTCTTCTTCCTTTGAGGATTTGACTCATTTATTCTTGACATTTTCTTCTCAAATGTATATTTTTCAAAGTAGTTTTATTATTCTCCAATGCCTACTCCAACTTTGTGATTTTATAGAAGGCTACTCAGACTTGGTTTAATAGATAAAGATATTGATTGTTTTGAGGTTGCAGGATCTCTCTTATTGTTCTGGGAATTACTTATTTTGAGTATTTTGTCAACACTTTCCATAAGTCCATGTTTATATCAATTGGTATTATTTTACAGTGCTTCTTAGTTGGTGCTTGGGGTAGGTGAGCCCTTCACTTCAGGGGGCATTAGTACTCTCAGCCCTTTCCAACAAATGCCAGCAGAGCCCCCAAATCCCTGAGGCACTATCGATGATTCCCAACATTTCCAAATGCCTCCATGGGGAATGGTATCACTCCTGGTAATGGGGCCCTACGCTTACCACAAATTATTGATAACTGAAATTTGAAAACAGTTGGGATGGAACATCATAAGCCACTCTAGGGGAAGCAGATACCTGGTGGAGTTGGCCAGTCACTTTCCTCCTCCTTCCCTTCCTCTTTGTATTTTGGACTTAAGAGATTTCAACCAAGAAACTTGTGAGACCTATAACTGCATTGTTTCAAAGGGAACACACATTGCACCGCCTTACAGGGGATGCAGTGTAGAGGGTGCAGGGAGCTCTTTTTAGAATTTGAGTGTCACTTTGACATTCTACTTACTTTCACACATGATGCTTCCTGACTCTAGTCTGCCCATCTGTTTGACAGCAATTGCAGTTACCTAGCACCATGCACTGGGCTTGACATGCTTTATTTTGCTGTTCTTATAACAGTTTTGCTCAGCTTAAAACATTTTTCATGTTCCCATTTTACAGATGACAAAACAAAGACTTTAGAAAGATATGAAACTGGCCCATAATTGATAGTCTGATCTCTTGCTATTAAACTATTGCTAAAGGCTTGGGGGTGGGGTGGGAAGCATGGGGATGAGGTCAGAAAAAGAAGTCCCTTTAAAGCACGGACATGTCCCTAGGACATTCTGGTGGAGAAGTAGCATCATTGGTGTCCAACCTGTCACTGCAGGCTGTTGTGTCAGCTCATCTCAGACCCAACCAGGAAAGACCCTTGTAGGCAGTTTGCTAAAGGCCACTGGGAAAGGGATGGCTTGCTGCTGATTAATAAGCCAGGATAGAGTGTGGACACAATGGCAGACAGATGGTCTGTTGCTGGCTCCAGAAGTTGTCACTACATGCTCCCAGCTTCAGTGAAAAAACAAACAAATAAACAATTAAGACCAGATATCTCTGGAGAGGGAGGAAGAAAGGAAACAGGCTTGTTGGTACTATGGAACTTAATATGATGGCTTGTGGGACTTCAGTAAAGTTCACTATGAGTGACACAGACATCACCATCTCATAACCACATTCATACACGCATTCATTTCCCAACATTTATTGAGCATCTGCCACCTGCCAGAGTCTCCCCTAGGTAATGAAGATAGTGCAATAGACAACACTCACAAATATCCCTGCCCTCATAGAGCTTATATTCTAACAGAACACAACAGTAAGCATACTAATGAGTAAAAGATGGAGAGAAGTGCTTTGGGCAAAAAACCAGCTGGGAAAGGGCGTATATGTGGCAGGGGATGACTTTAAACACTGATGCGGAGAGCGGCAGGAAGTCGCCATGCAGGCCATTATTCCAAGCGGCTTACAACGAATATCTCATTAACATTCACAATGACCCCAAGGAATACGTTATAAAAACTCCCACTTTTTATACAACTGAGGTTAAGAGGGATGCAGATTCCAGATCGCGCATCTAGCTGGTGGTGGAACTGGGATTTGAACTCAGGTACTCTAAAGTCTGGTGGCAGCGCTCTGGAATACCGGTGCAGAATGCTTACAAGTAACCGGATTTGGGAAAGGAGCACGGTGCGGCTGCAAGAGAAGTCTCCGTGGGTACCCGCGAGTAAGCTGCTACCCCTCGGGGGAGGGTGAGCTGAGGCTGACTGCATGCGGGTAGGGGGTACAGCGAGTCTAGAACTTCGCCGAGCTGAATCCGGACTCTGTCGGCATCTGCGGTGTTTCAGCTGCTAACGCAGTGGGCCCGTGGGGGAGGGAGCGCTCAGTTAGGGTTGTTCCGGGACAGTGCCGGTCTGACCCTCACCCCGCCGCCACCCCGGGGCCAGCTGCTGCAGTCAATAAGGCGAGGGCGTATTAGGCCTACCGGGGTCCGCCCGGGAATTCCTAGGAGCGCAGAAGAGGGCCGCGGGGGCGAGCCGAGCCCGAAACGGCGCACAGGAAGCACCAGCTCCCTCCCCCCACAGGGGCCTGGAGTTCCAGCCGCAGGTGCGCGAAGCGCGCCCAGCGCCGACCAAGTGTTAAGCCCCTAAGTGTTCCCGGTCTCGCCCGGGGCGCTCGAGCGGGAGGTGCAGGAGCAACCGGGAACCCTGCGGGGCGCCGAGAGGGGGGGAGAGCGGGCTGGGGAGCACTTGGGGGGAACCACAGCTCAGCGTGCAAGAGTAAAAGGTGAGCGCGCGGCTGCCCCCCACCCGCCCGGGGGATGGCAGAGAGAGCCACGAGAGGGGGCTGGCGTAGACGGGGCGCGGAGGAGCGACTGCCCGGGAGAATGCGCGGCACAGCCGGAGACCAGGGGCCTTGGAGAGGTCGTCGGGAGTCGCCTAGGGGCCCTCAGACTGTGGTCGGTGCGGCCCCTGGGCGTAGCTAGGCAGAAAGGTCAACAGAATCTGCTAGAAGACCGGCTGCCGCGGGCGCCAGAGCGGGGGCGGGGGCGGGGGGCGCGGAGCCGTCGCGCTCGAGAATGGGGCGCGCTGTGGCCCGAGGGCGGTGGCGCTTGGGGGCTCGAGATTAGCGGGCAGAGGGGAGCCGACGAGAGTCCTGGATGAGTGGCGGAGGCGGGGACCGAAGCAGCAAAGTCCTCGGAAGAACGTCCCGGGTTGGGGAATGCGCCGGCGGGCACCGGGAGCGGAAAGCCGACTCGGGCGGCGGGGTGGGTGCTCCGAGCGCTCCGGGAGCTCGGCGCAGGCGCGGGTCTCGGGGGAGCGTTGGAGAGCCCGAGGGAGCGCAGGCAGCGGTGCCCGGACACCGAAGCGCCGGAGCTCGTGCCGGGTAGAAGGGGGCGTCGAGCGCGCAGGGTCACCCCGCCCTAGCGCCCCCCGGTCCGCACCCACTCACCATGATGGAGAAGACGAAAGCCACTATGTTGACGGGGTACGCGGGGCAGAAACACGACAGGATGGTGAGCCACAGGTAGTTCTTGGGCATGGGCAGGTCCTCCTCGGTCTTGTCATCCTCGGTGTTGGCCTCGGGACTGCAGTCCAAAGCTGTCTTGAAGTCCGAGCCGGAGGCGTACTGAGACATGGGCGAGGCCGGCGGCGCTGCGAGCCGGAGGGGCGCGGGGTCGGCGCGGTCTGCAGCTCTGGCCGCCGGCGGGTGGCGACGCTCTGAAAAGCCGGCGGCGCGGGACTCCAGGGAGACGTGACCTCACCCCCTCAGCGTCCTGGGCTTGCACCGCCCGCGCTCAGGGATCCAGGCCAGGAGCCTCTGCACCAGAGGGGCGGGGAGGGGGGGGGCGCAAGAGAATGGGGGAGGCCGCGGGGAGGAGAGAGCCGCCTACAAGCCTGAAAAACGGGAAAGGCGCTCCTGACGGCGCACCCGACTATCACACAGACGCGCAGACTCAGCGCCTGAAGTCCCGCACAGAGGCCGAAGTCCCCTTAAGTTGCAAACTGGCCAGGTCAGGCGCTGAGTGACGAGCGAGCGGGCCTGTGTGTGTGTGTGTGTGTGTGTGTGTGTGTTTGAATTTGAATACATTTAGAGGAGACAGGATACCCCCCACCCCCATACTCACGGCAGCCCACTTACTGCTTCCCCTCCACTTCCCACAACCGATTTACCCAGCCCCAGTGCCTTTTACTCAGCTCTTGTGCATCCAGCAGCTGTAATTTCTCTCCCCTCATAGGTGGGCAGGAAGGAAGTTTTGGGGGCCAACTCTACCAACTCTGCACAAGGGGCCCCTGGAGACAAGTTCAAAGTAGCCAGATACTGGGCACACCCAGGCAGGGCCTGTTCAGCTGCCCTCCACTTTTTCCTGCGTGTGGAAACAAGGATTTTTCTCTTACCGGGTCACCTACAGGGTCTCTGCAGAGAGAGGCCCTGGTTTGGACATCCCAGGTGGATAATTGGCGTAAGGGGAAGAGAAAGGGGCCTGCTTTGTGAAACTGGGTAAGGACAGGGTCACACGAATCCCCAAGGAATTGTGCAAAAGGCAATATGGACCAGAACTGAAGGCCCGAACCCAGACAGAGCTGGAAATAGGCAAGTCTGGTTTCGAAGACTTTAGGAAGTCCCTTCACCTTGTTGAGCTCCAGTTTATTTATCTGAACAAAGTGAGCTCCTGCCTCGTAGCATCTTCAAAAGACTCTGTGAGATTGCTTATCGAGCCAATGAATCTGTGTGCTCAGTGTCAGTTATTGATAGTCTATTATCTGCCCCAAATATGGTGGCTTATATAGTATCTCAGACTCAATATGAGTTAGTACGAATATTTCACTCAAAATTCCAGGTACTCTGAGTTGGTGGGATCATAAAGAAATGCAAATGATTTTATTACACACAGTCTCAAAAACAGTTGCTCATCATGATCCACAAAAGAATCATCTGTTTGACTTTCTCCAACACGAGCTGGGGTGCTCTCATTTATCTGACGGGTTACTCAGATCTGGTGATCCTTTTCTCTCGTGGGACTGCAAATTCCCCGAGAGGAGACCATGTTACTCATCTTTGCTTCAGCATTTGGCACAGTGCCTGGTACAAATTATGCTCTTAATATAGTGGGGTGAACACATAGCATGAAATAATGCTTTCTTCACCAGGCTGTCTCCATTTTGATTGGTTAGTCAAGTAAGAATAAACCAAATAATTCCTCTATTGATTTCTTAACTAAACCTTTGCATTGGCTGTTCCCTTTGCCTGAAATGCTGTTCCTCCAGGCTGTCACATGACCACTCCTTGTTAGTTTTCAGCTGTCCTTTGAGAGAAAGAGAGCGAGAAAAAGAGAGGAAAAGAGAGCTAGAGAGAGAGAGAGCTTGGATTTATCTAGCTTAGGTCCTAATAATTGCAATTTTTTTTACCAGATTAATAAAAACAATAATTTATTTTTACTTCATTTTGTGCATTTTTCCATCTCAGTTGTAATCCCTGTGGGCTTCCCATTACCAAATCACCTGGGTGCCATCACCATAGCCAGATGTTTTTTGGGGTGGCCTGTGTCATTGTAATTTGTTTTCTTGTTCTTTCTCTAGTCTATCAGCTCCTTTCCCACCACAGAGCCTTACACTTGTTCCTTTCTCCTGGGGTACTTCTCTTCCTCTCTTCACATGTTGCTACCTTGTCATTTTTTGAGACTATCACTATACCAATTATTTCCTGAGAGAGAACTTCCCTGAGCCTCAGATCTAAATTAACCGTTCATCTTCTTACCCATGCCATCACCCCTTTTCATTTCCATTGTCGTAGTTATCACAACTAGAAATCGTGTTGCTTATTTATTTGTTTCCTTATTATTGTCTGCCTCCCTAACTAGCAGGTAAGCTCACTAAGTCTTCTCTTTGGTTCACTATGGTGTCAGCCACAGAACAGTTCCTGGCCCTACGTAGGTAGTGAGTAGATATTTGTTGAGTCAATAAACCATGCATTTCATCATCAAGTTGGGAACTGGGGGCATTATTCTTTTCTTTTCTGCAGCCTTTATATGAACTTTTCATCAAACCCTATTGATTCTATCTCAGACATCTTTTTTTTGCATCCTCAGGACCAGTGTTCCAAGCACAGCTCTTATTAACAATGAAAAGACCCACTGGATGCTGTCTGAGCCAAGTCAAGATCTGAGGCTGGTCTCTTTAGTTGGTGTCATCAAGTCCAAGTTTTGAGTGCCAGATGGGATTTTTCTGTGTCAAGGTCATGAACTGCACTTGAACTGTACTATCCACTGCAACCCAGTGGTGTCATCTAGAGAAATACAAAAGAAGGGGTTGACTCAACACAGCCCATGTCCTCTGCCAGGAAACAGCGGGTTAGCAATGACTCTGGAGCCACCAGACATTGGCAGAGTGCATAACACGCATTCCATTGAGGCTTCTCTCACTTCACCCCTGCATCACCTTTGGGAGGTAGGTGGAGAGATTTCTTTTCCTTCTTCTTCTTCTTTTTTTTTTTATACAATTGAGGAAACCTAAAGGATCTTGTATGTGGTTAAAACTGAGTGAAGCTGCCAGGATTTGGGTCAGGTCTAAGATATTCGGCCAGCATGTCTACCAGCCAAGAGAGTCAGATGGATCACCCAAAGTCTGCTGGAGTTACTATATTCTTCCCAGGAAGAAAGATTAATAACTTGTTGGCTGGTCTAAAATGTAGCAGTGAAATTGCAATCCCTTGAAATATTTACAATTAAATGGAAAAGAAAGTGCCTGGACCAGAAAGTGTAATGTATATAGAGCTGATTCTTGAGAGATGCATTATACCACTCACTAGGGGTTTCTAGCCCTAATTTCCTGAACTTCAGTCATTTTCTCTTAAGAGGTCAGTTTATTGCTCTTGAATGAACCCCAGTGTCTGATTACTTAATAATATGGCAATACCTTCCTTTTAAAATGAGAGGAGAAAGTGACTTCCTAATAGCTAGCCTAGAAGAGGGATAAGGCTATGTTGCTTTTTGGATCCAGAAACATGTCACACTGTTTGATCTTTGAAAAAGTTTTATT